AAAATGTTTCTCTTTTTACTTATACAAGTTTGTGTGTGTTTATTTTAAAATACACACACTTAAACCCTCCTCTACTAATTCATTTATCTTTTGCTGATGTTAAACTACTATATATATAAATATATACAGTATATATATATATATATATATATAGTAAAAACACAACCATTAATATACTGCATTCTGAAATAAAGAAACACAATAATGTGTGAATGAAAGCTAAGCCATGATAAAACAGAAATACATTAAAGAAACAGGAGTGAAAATGGACACTGAGTCTATATTGTATATTATTTGTTACATCAGGAAGGTGTTTTCATGTATAGAACTCTAAAATTATAGAACAGATGTTATATAACGTCAATAAGGAGACATTTTGAAAAAAACGAAAAAAAAGAGATACACTGCAGTACATGCTTTTTCCTCATATTTATCAGTAACAGACCATAGGTCAAAAAGAAAATAAGTAGTACATGTTAATAAATACTAATTGAGTTGTTCTGTCATTAACAAGCAACTTTGAAATCCTTAAAGTCCAGTTTGTCGATGGCCCGCTCGTTCTTGAACTCTGCTTTGGTGATTCGTGACTGAGGGCTGCCGGTGGTTTGCAGCCACTGCTGCTTCTGCTGGACTTTGGAGGCTGGACCCTGCAGCTGCCCTCGAACCGTGCCAGCATCAGTGTTCTGCACCCAGCCGCTTTCCTTCTGACTGAAACACAACACACACACACACACACACCAGCACCACTCAGCAACACAGCACTTCACACACTAGAATGCACCGATTTACATCATGTAAAAAAACCCCATAAAGAACATAAAAATGAACAAAAAGTCAGGCCTTATAATAAACACTGATTAAAACAAATAAAAAAGAAACCGTATCAATAAAAGGACAGAAACTGAAATATAACAATAGTTCAATCCTAACAACAACAACAAAACTAAATCCACATTTTGACAAACACATGAACAGCATAAAATAGGGCGAAGTCAAAATGAAATATCTTTAGTTAGTCATTTATGTCCATAATATGATTTTTACTGAGTATAACAGCACATTCAATGAGGAAAACAGGAAAAATGGGACTAACTAAACTAAAACCATTCAAACACATTAACTTAAAATAAATAAATGTTAAGTGAAATACAATAAAATATAAAAAAACTTGCCTTGACTAGAATAACTAAAAATGAATAAAAAAAACAGAATATTAAAATATTAAAAATGACAAAAACAACAACATTACTAAAACGTTAACTAAAATTAAAAATGAAAACTTTAATGTTATCTCAATGACACTAAATGTCACAGTGCGTGCGGGGAGATGAAGCGAGGACTCAAGTGCAGGATGAATGGTTCTTTATTTTAATAATAAAATGAAACAAAAACAAACTCAAACCACCCCGAGGGGGAAAAACAGACAGGCAGGCTAGGAACTGCACTACATGCAGACATAACACACACACAATGAGAAATGACGGATCAGCACAGGATTACAGACACTAGGAGAATAAATAGAAAACCAAACGAGGAGGCTAATGAGGGAGCCACAGGTGGAGCAACTTAAACAATAATGGGGTAACAAGATTGGCGGGGTCAGACAATAGACAGGAGAGAGCACATGGCAACAAACAAACACAACACAAGCCATGTGCTCACAGAAAACACAGTTATGTGGTCCCCCTCCTGCGCACACCCGCTGAAGACTGTGACACTAAATCTGTACAAGCTCGAAAAATGTGCTCGTCATGACTAATTCAAGATCATTTAATTGATACTGACACACAGACATTATGGCTTTAGTGAAGGACGGATGTTGCAAACATTTTTTATGCTTTGCTTATCATTGTCCAAATTAAAACCTATTTTTGGTGGCCCTCCTGGGCACACCCGCTGAAGACTGTGACACTAAAGTAACACTGGGAAATAAATACTTGTAAAGTGTATTAACAAAGTAAATAGGGTCCCTTATGATTTCATGTTGATTTATAATGTGAATTATGTTGTGAATTAAGGTAGATTTTAGCCAAATGTTGATCTGTGTTCACAGGACAAGATTATTTTAAAGAAATGTCTGGTCAGGACAGCTTGTGGGTTTTTGTTTTGTAATTCATTAATCACAATAATTGTTGGCCACAACAACAGTTTAATATTTTTGTGTTTCCTTTTATATTTCTTTTTCCAAAATGTTTCATAAATTTTTTTTTTTAACTGTTTAATCTTTGCTTAAAAGCCATTCAATTGAATAAACTACAGTAGTCAACATTTGAAGTGGATCAAAACCTTTCACCAAAGTTGTCCTAAAACCAAAATGCTTAACTTTTATGAACTTTTATGATCCACTTCAAATGTTGACTGTATCTTAGAAACATAGACAGATAGTTAACTTTAGATAGTAATTCATGTTTTAAACTATTCATGTCAATATACAGCAGGCTCTTACTGTGTGTGCAACGCCACATTGTCACATATTTCATGAGCAATAATAGTGGAAACGGTCAATGGTTTTATAGTCAAGACTTTAATGTTTTTGTCTACACAGAAACGTTCAAAAATAAACCCATCCTGAAAACCATTATTTTGCATGTATGCATTTGGCAGACACTTTCATCCACAGCATTTAAGATGCACATTTGTATCTATTCATGCATTCTGTGTGATGGACGATAATAAAAGGCTTTCTGGTTTCTGAAATCCGCGGTTAAATCGACTTTATTGGCGTTTTAAATGCAGTTTATTTCACATGTGAAGTAGCAACTGTTTTGCTTATGAAGCGGCACATGCGCAGCAGCGTCATCATCATCACCGCGTGTCGGTCATCCGGGTTACGGCATGACGTCTGACGCAACTGGCCAATGGTAAGGGAAAAGAAAGTTTGAGTTGTCTTGTTTCTAAGCAACGAGTGTAAACACAACTCTTCACAACAGATATTATCGAGTTCATTAAACCTGAGACGATTCATCGGTTTACATTCACAGAAAGCAAAAGTAGGGTAAGTTTGAAGCTAAATAGATATTAAACCATCTATAGTCTAATATCCAGGTGCTTATGAAAACGTGCTGATTAAGCTAATAGGGTTTTACCCTAGTCAAGGTAAAACTTTCAACAAATAGATGTCAACATACTTTACCCCGTTGATTAATAACAGTACAGTACATTAAAGGGATAGTTCACCCAAAAATGAAAATGTGATGTTTATCTGCTTACCCCCAGGGCATCCAAGATGACTTTGTTTCTTCAGTAGAACACATATGATGATTTTTAACTTTAACCGTTGCAGTCTATCAGTCGTATAATGCATGGCAATGGTAACATTTTCATTCTTGGGTGAACTATCCCTTTAAGACAGTTGTTTTGTATAAGTTATGTAAAATGTTTAATGAGGCTTTATTTAATTAACTATGCTCTAATTTGCATAATTTACCAGAACAGAAATCTGAACACTAGATAAAGCCAGTTTAAAAAAAAATCTTGTTTGATTCTGTTGACATATAAGTCCATAAGTCAGAAAATACTGTCAACAGACGGGGAAAAAAACTCTTCAGAATATAGATAGAAGGATGGAGATCTACAAATGCAAATAGATCAAATGCAATGCAATAAAAAAAACACTTAAATATTTATTTTGGACGTTTTCTTTCCACTAGTCTGAAAGAAGACATGTTATGGAAGCAAAATTGACCAGTACATGAAAAAAATAAAATACAGATTTTGCCTGTAGTGTCTAACTTTTAAAGCATGAGAACAGCTTTTCCAAAACCAATGACTGTGTAATGTAAAGAATAGAAGAAACAAGAGAAAGAAACAATTACAGCTGTACTATTTTTAAAGAAATGGCTGTGTGTTATAGCAGTCCACAGACCACAGGTTGACAACGTTGTTATTATACGATCAACTCCTGCTGAAGCTGTATATGTGACTGTTACTGACATTTACTCACTGCACGCCATCGATTCACGCAGCATTTCTGGGAAAAAGAGACCGTATCAATAAAACTTCCGTACTTGCAAAGAGAGGGCATGAGCAGACAGCGCAGTCCCTCAGGAGCTCATCACAACTCCAGACCGCATGTTCTAGAAAACCAAGAGGGAAGGATGAGCTCCACGAGAGAGAGACAACAACCCTGGCAACATCCAGACAACAAGAAACATACATCTGGAGGAGCAGAGTGAATACGTTCCTTCACGGAGAGCATCAGACAAAATATTCCCTCTAAAACCAGTCCTTCACAAGAGAGCGTACAGCCTGAGTAACGTCACGAAACCAGAACATCAGGAGAGACTTTACTCGTGTTTAGCTAATAGACACCGGCAGAAGGTTGTAAGAAAACTAGACGCTCTTAATTCAGACTATCTAGGAAGAAAAAATCAAACAAAGAGCGACGTGGACCGTGAACAGAGGCTTGAGAAACAAACATGGCTGTCAAAGGAAATCCACTCTGAGGAGGTGATGCTCCAGGAGAAGATTTTCAAAGCAGACGAGACTCTGAGAAGAGTCCTAAAAGAGAGGAAGGACAGTGCAAAGAGAGATGAGAGGAATAAAAGATATTCGGAAGAGCTAAAGGAGGACAACAGGTTCTATAGTAGTGGATACGGAGACTGGGATGAGGAAAGAGACACATATCACAGGGAATCCAGAGATGATATGGAAAGATGGGAGGAATGGGATGGCCAGGTGGAGAGGAGCAAAGAAAGTACAAAATGGAGACGACCTTTGACCTTAGACATGACAGAGGGTCACAAGCTGGAGGAAATGAGAGAGTGGGGTGAGTATGAACAACAGACAGCAAAAAGCAGGAGCAGGGAAATGAGTAACGGGCGAAGAGAGAGAAACATGGGAGCACACAACCTCTATTTGCACAATGAAGATGAAGATCACTGCGACGTGAGAAAACCAAATTCATCTGACTCTGAGAGAAGGGACAGATCTCACCTCACAAGACGCATGAGAGGAGAGAACATAAAGACGGTTTGTATCGACTCGCATCGAAACTCATGAAGGACGCCGTCCCGGAGAGAAACCCCAGACATGAGAGGAAAGCGCCTGGAGCTCAGTCTGGAGGAGAAGCCCGTGATCCCGTGTGACGTGTGCCATCGGTGCTTCGCACGAGACCGTCTGGAGACACACAAGAGGGTGTGTGAGAAAAAGCGGCCCCAGCGCAAGATATTCGACACGTCACAGTACAGAGTCAAAGGAACAGACCTCGAGGAGTTCATGAAAACCAACAGCAGGAGCAAAACACCAGTAAGAGTTTTACTTTTAACTCATTAAATCCTACTATAATAACATATTTGAGACGTATTTGTGTTACACACACACAGAGTTATTTTTTTATCCAGTAAAAGCTCTTTTAGTGTAATTGTAGAAATTGCTTCTCGTGTGTTTCTGCGGTCAAATCTTGACTGATTTTGATCAAGTAAACGTCAGAATAACTGCAGTCATATCTCCAGATGAACACTTACTGGACTGAAGCAGCTCAGCTTTACTTGATTCTCCATCAATCATGTTTTAGAGTCTCAAATCTGATCCTCAGGATCTTTTGAGGAGCGTTTGTTTCCAGAAGCTTTACTTTCACTGTTCCTCAGCGGAGGAATGATCTTCACAAGCCTCCAGAACATCTCACATCTTCTGAGGAGCCTTTATTTCTTCAGCTCTCAATCACTGCATTATATGTCTGGAGCATTTCAGTCTGAGACAGATTACTGGAGATATAGAGACGACTGATATTTAGATCACTTTATGTCAGTCTCTGCTGCACTGTTATAAAGATCTCATTGATTTACAGTACAAGCATCAGAATTTCATCATATAAATATCAACATCTGCACTAAATTGCATATTATTTCTCATTTTGAGTCTCTAAATAAAATTGAGCTGCTTTTGTTTCATATTCTCACTGTATCAGACTATATGAGCTTTAAAAGCCTGATGGATCAAATATGACAGGCCTGCTAAAAAAAAACATTTGCATTTGTTAAATTAAATATATTTTGTCTAAAAGTTCAATATATGATTTATTAGAAAAGTAAATTTTTCTTACTGTTATTTCATAGCCTATGTTAAATTCATAAGCTCCATAAAAAATGAAAAGAAAAAAAAAACCATAAAATTATCAGCAAGTACTCCATATGATTTGCACTCTAAAAAGGTCTTCTTAAGTCATATGATAGTGTGAGGAACAGACTCAAATTGTAATTTGACTACATTCATATATATCTTAACATTGATCGTGAAAAAAAAAAATCACAATTATGTTATTTGTCATCTGCAAAGGCCGATCTGTGTTTTGTTTAGCTGTGGTAGTGTTTACTTCATAACATCGCTTTTCTGTGCACTATCTGTGTCTTTACTGATGTCTTACTGTTTTTATCCGCAGCCTAAGAAGAATAATTGGCGGCAGAAACACGAGGCCTTCGTTCAAACCATGCGTCAGGGTCAAGGAAGTGTGCCGCAGTCAGCCTCAAACCTAAACTCAGAATATGTTAGCTGCCCTCACTGTGGCCGCAGATTTGCCCCAGGGCCAGCACAGAGACACATCCCAAAGTGCCAGAACATCAAGAGCAGACCACCACCTCCCAAACAACCGCACAGCAGCAGCAGCAGGAAGATCACACCGTGACTTGTGCTTCATCAGCTCTCCGTTGATGCTGTTGCATTGAACATTTTTAGTGTAAAACATCTTGCTATTTGCTTATTCAAAACAACTTTGTCTAGAACATCTTAAAAAATTACATAATTGTTTTATATATATATATATATATATATTAATTAAAACCAATTAGCTGATTTTTTATGTTCTCACAGAGTAACAGATACAAGCAAGCTTACAACAGATAATTAAAAACAAATATGTTTAAGTATGACTTCTGGACATCTTATGGAACTGTGCAATGCATAACAGTGACTGTAAATATGTATAGGTATTTTTTGGGGTTTAATTTGTCAACATTTGTAATGGTTTTGTTATGCAGATCTGGCAACCCTGGGTAGAACTTGGATAGGTCCAATGAGGTTAGGGTTTAGCCCGAAGTACACTACGGTTTTTATGTTTAAGCTAGGGGACAGTAAAGGGAGAAACAAAGCTTTTCGGAGCTCTGAATCAATGGAACCAGTTGTTTCTGAAAATGAGTCGCTGTTTGAAGCGTTTGAAACTTCCACAATCTGGCGGCATCTGCTGGACAAAACGTGTAGGCTTACATGCAAACAACTCAGCACTTTTATAAACCGATTGCAAATGTCAGGAAAATAGTGTTGTTATGATATTATGTAACAGTTCCACAACAAGAAATATTCATTGTGTGAGTTAATATTGCACTATAATTAAAACCAATTAGCTGATTTTTTATGTTCTCACAGTGTAACAGATACAAGCAAGCTTACAACAGATAATTAAAAACAAATATGTTTAAGTATGACTTCTGGACATCTTATGGAACTGTGCAATGCATAACAGTGACTGTAAATATGTATAGGTATTTTTTGGGGTTTAATTTGTCAACATTTGTAATGGTTTTGTTATGCAGATCTGGCAACCCTGGGTAGAACTTGGATAGGTCCAATGAGGTTAGGGTTTAGCCCGAAGTACACTACGGTTTTTATGTTTAAGCTAGGGGACAGTAAAGGGAGAAACAAAGCTTTTCGGAGCTCTGAATCAATGGAACCAGTTGTTTCTGAAAATGAGTCGCTGTTTGAAGCGTTTGAAACTTCCACAATCTGGCGGCATCTTCTGGACAAAACGTGTAGGCTTACATGCAAACAACTCAGCACTTTTATAAACCGATTGCAAATGTATTCAAGAAAACGTAATCTATTAAAGGTAATCTACAACTAACTAAGAAATGAAGTTTCTGTTACATGTGTGTGTTCTTTTATTAATGTGTAGTGCTTGTTTTGTATGTTATTGGGCAGGGTGTGCCTTGTTGTATTATACAAGTATAGTATTATATAAATAAAATGATTCATTCAGTTAATTAAAAATAAACCTACACTATAAAACTGACCCAAAGATCAGTTAAAACCAGAAGCAGTATGTAGCTCAACAAATTGCATGACGCCCCTGTTGAAAAAACAGCATATGCTGGTTAGGTATGTTTTGACGCTGGGATGCTGGTTTAAGTTGGTCCTTTGCTGGTTTAAGCTGGTCCTTTGCTGGTTTA